CTTTTCGGAAGGCAGGGAGCGAGGAAATGGACCGAATCTCCGCGGGGAGTTCGTTCCAAAGGGCCGGAGCTGCAACAGAGAAGGCCCTCCCCCGGGTCGTAGCCAGATGGCATTGGCTGGTGGATGGAACCCGGATGAGGCCAGCCCTGTGCAATCTAATGGGTCTTTGGGAGGTAATTGGCAGCAGGCGGTCTCTCAAGTACCCAGGTCCAATACCATGAAGGGTATTAGAAAGAAGTTTCTCCTTAATGCCAACTTGCTTCTCTCTGGTTAAATTTCCAACCATTGTTTCTTGTCCTGCCCTCTGGTGCTTTGGAGAATAATTTGACCCCCTCTTCTTTGAGGCAGCCCCTCAAATACTGAAACACTGCTATCATGTCTCCCCTAGTCCTTCTTTTCTTTAGACGAGCCAAACCTAACTCCTGCAGCCATTCTTCATATGTTTGGGTTTCGTGACCCAATCTGGTATTAGCTTGTATTCTAGAATGCATTTCACTAACTTAAGGAACGCTACTGTGAAATGATAAACGTTTGGGTTTGTTTCATCCCAAAGAGTTCCCCGGGTTTTTGTCCTCAATTTCGATTCAGACGTTGAAAGTAACGGATTGTGTGTTCTTTTAATCCACAGGCTACATAGGTGAATTTGAGATCATTGATGACCACAGAGCTGGGAAAATTGTTGTGAATCTCACAGGCAGGCTTAACAAGGTAGGAATTCAAGCCAGGTTCAAATTAATTTTGGGAAGATGTACATTTTGTGCCCATCTTTAAGTTTTATCTCATTTGGAGGAAAAAGTCCTACCGTGCATATTTTTGTCACTACAAGCATCCATTGAAAGCTTTTTGACCTAAAAGACTGGTAGGTCCATCTCATCTTCAGGTGTCAAAGACAAATCACACACACAGAAGACAGGTGCAAGGCAAGAAGACAGGTGTGTTATATAGTCGGTTCCATAAAATTAGTAGCATAAAATTGTGTGACTCCTTGCCATTTGTCAAAAGACAAGGACTGATCTCCCAAATCGGATTCATAGCATCAGCCCCTAATGTTCCTTAGACTGCTAGGATGGAGGTCTATGGAGGTTCTCAATCACACAGGTCATTGTTGTCCTAGAGGTGCTTTTCCAAAAGGAAACTGGAGTTTTCTTGGCTTTTGAAGAACAGCTGAAGCAGCTTTTTGGAGGAACATTTTCAAGGGAGAAAAACCCAAGAAAGTCCAGTCGTTTCGGAGAAAAATATCTTTGGAACTGGCAGGATGCAGGCAACCTTAAGCAACTGTTCTGACCCCCCTCGTCTCACACCAACACACACTCTGAGCCAAAGATAAGTTACGGCATTTAATTAACAGACAGACAGGTCCTT